TTTTTTTTTTTTTTTTTTTTTTTTTTTTTTTTTTTTTTTTTTTTTTGCTGGAGTGGGGATGTTAGAATGAGTATATAAGTGTCCTTTATAAAATTTCCCAAAAGGTGTCTTCTGGCTTGGGGGGATGCAGGTCAACACATTATTATTAAATGCTTTGATATTTGATTTTAATGCATGCTAATCCAGTTTTTTAATCCTTTTAGGAAATAATTCAGAATGCTGAGGATGCTGGGGCCACAGTGGTGAAGTTTTTGTATGATGACTGCTGCCATCTGGTGGATGGTGATGACACTGGGGGATTTAGCCATCCTGGTCTCAAGGAATTTCAGGTATGACTTTAGAGTTAAGGTGGGTTAAACATGGATTAATTTCATGACGGAAAGCTAAATTTCCCTGAAGAGTGGGTTGGAGGAAGTAATATTATTTTATACTCAACCAAAAAGTATATTTCATACTTGAATTCTGAACATTGCTACCTTTGAGCAATTTCCCATTAAATTAATTAAAATGAAACATATTTCAGTGCAAGGGAGGGAAATTTTATGTTATAATCTGTATTATATCATAGAAGTACACTGTAGGAAGTCAGGCCTATCCAACTACCAGACTTGGCACTGAATGATCCTGAATTCACCGGTAGATCAGATCACACTACCCATTTTCAAGGTGTGCGTCAGTATGCATTTCACAGAATCGTACCCCAGAACAGATTTGAGATAAGATGCATTACTTTCCAACCCTGCTCAAAATCATTGCTATCACAACGCATACTAGGCCAGTGATCATTTTACCTTTAAAGATTATGAGTCCAACAGGATGCACATGATATTGAACAATGGGTCCCTGCCGATTGTGATGGGTCCCTGTCATTTTGAACAATAAAGGTTAACACAAAACTAACAATTTGTTACTTTTATTTTTTCAAGTTTCTTTATTTATGGCTAATTTGTGATCTGACAAGGCTGCGTGTCTCACAAGGGTAGAGTTTTGATAATTTCTGTTCTGAGCATTTTTCACCATCCAATTACGTTTATTTGCCAATGTACATGCATCACAATACATGAAATCAGTCCCATCCTCTCTTTTTTTTTTTTTTTTTTTTTTGATACCTTAACCTAAGCCTAGGGCTTTGTCCAGTGTTGTTTGAAGGAACGGATTTTCCTTTTTGACTCCATTTTTGCCTCCGTCAAACATTCATCTGCGTCACTCTCACTCTCAGCCTCAACGGCAGTCACAGCGATTACTGTCTCAGAAATTTTCTCGAACTCCGCTTGACTCTGTCTCACCTTAAATATATTCAATATTGTCTGTTGGCTACTGTCTCATAATAATTGCTTTTTCGGAGGGATGGTCGCTGAGCAGACGAACACGCTGCGCAAAATCTATTTTAGTCGAAAATAGGTCAAGTAGAGTGGAGTGTGCAAAGCAGACGAACAGTTTTGCCATTGCTATTGTAACATTCAATACAACAACGGGAAAATGAACATGATTAACCTAGTTTAATGACTAGTATTTTATGCAGATCAGCGATGCATATGGACAGGTTATTTACGAATCTCACACAATTTAAAATCTTTGCGTCCATGGGGACGCATATGCTATAAAACTGCGTCTACAGTAAAAATTGTGCGTCAGGGACGCGGGACGCAGAGGTAAAATGATCACTGCTAGGCAAGAGCGGTGTACTGACTGACATACACCTTGGAAATGGGTAGTGTGAATTCACGATCATCCAGTGCCAAGTCTTATAGTTGGGTAGGCCTGGAAGTGAATTGCCTGGAGGTTTATTGTCCGGTGTGTGTTAACGAGTGGGATTGACAAATTTAGCTACAGACTTTAGCCTGTCACCCTTGTAAATCCAGAGTAATCTGATAACTTGTGAGATCACACAGGAACAAAATGGCACTTTAAATTAAAGGGACAAATTTCTTATTGGTGACGAGTAAGACAATATCTTAGCAGAATATCATATAGTTTAGAGTAACAATTATGTCGTGGAGATTGAAGAAACATCAAAGTATGTTAATAAGTATTTTATGAAGTTTATGATGCATGTACTTTGTGTTTTTATAATGTGTAGCTCATTGATCATGTGGCAATTATATACACTGTATATGGTACACTGTAATTACTCAATCTTTTCAATGGAGGGAAATAGTGAATTTTACAGATACTTAATTATCTTAAGTCATAATTTCTTAATATTAGAATATTTGTATTGAGTTGTAGCAAAAAAGAAAATAAAAGCAGGCTACTCTATACTTCCATTCTATGCAGTAAAAGCACCAAAAATGCTGCATAGATCGACACGTAAATTTTGTGATTATATAATTATGTATCTGAAAGTTTGATGAAATTTTTACCCGTTGAAAAAATGGAGGAATTACCATGGTATATACTGGGTTCTGGGACATAGGCACAGCAGAATAAAGAAAATAATTCACTCAAATTATTGTTGAGTGGTAGCTTGATCCCAGTATATACATGTATAGTGTAGATACATGCATGAACATGTATACATACCTGGTAGCTACATGTAGGTATATATAGAGAGAAAGAGAGGGTGTGTTTGTGTGAAAGAAAGAGAGTGGAAGAGTCAGACAGACAGAACAGTATTATTATTCTTACAAATTCTTTGTCTATTTGATCCTAGTAAATTATCATTTCAGGGCCCCTCGTTATTTGCATACAATGATGCAGTTTTCACCAAAGAAGACTGGAAAGGCATCTGTATGATAGATGACAGTATAAAAGAGGAGGATGCTTTGAAAGTGGGGAGGTTTGGCCTGGGTTTCAAGTCTGTTTTTCATATTACAGGTAACGGTTCTATTACTGGAAACTAGTTTAAAATTTGTACAGAAATGTAAAATGTATATATTACAAAATTAATGGTAGAGCTCTTCTTTTTTAACAATAAAAAACAATCAATATAAAAGTAAGAACAGCAATTTTGTGAATTGTCCCCAAATCATGTTTCAAACATTCCTAAAGCAATAGGCATTTTGAGATGAACTTATAAGGGCATGGTTTCAGAACCTGAACCTGAAGTAACCATCTCTAAGATCACAGAGATCAGTATGAATGAAAAAAATAAAAGGCACATTTTTTTGTAAAAAAAAAAAAAATTCTGTTTTAAAGTAATAGTTACTCTATTTTAACGGCTACTGCACAGTAATTGAGAAATTAATTTGATGCAAACTCAGATTTTTAATTGGTATATAAAAATGACAGCAATACAAAGATAAGAGCACTGCACTGCACTGCTGTATTTTGTATATAAAAAATCCTTCCTCAGAATGACCCAAGATTTCTGGTGCTTTAGAACAAAAGTTCACTTTGCCAGTAAGAACTGATATATGCAGTTACATTCACATGTATATAATGTATTGTAACAGGTAAAGCAGAATGATTTCAACATTGGTAACACCAACGAAATATGGTGCCTTGGTCAGTTAGTAATCTCCAATTTTTTGAAAATAGTTCCCCAATTCTTTGAAAAAATCCCTTGTCCATCAGTTTTACAAACAGGCAGAAGTTCATAAACAAATAAAATTATATTTCTTTCAGATCTTCCCTGTGTACTAAGCAAACAGTACATTGCTATGATTGATCCCTACAGAGAATATTTCCAACCAAAGGCAGCTGAAAAATGGCGTCTTAAAGATATAGCAGGCTTTCACCAACAGTACAAACCATTTCTTGGTGTATTTGATTGTTCTGCTGAAACATTTCAAGGGAACTCCTATAATGGTACCATGTTCCGTTTCCCTCTTCGTAATGCTGGTCATGTTCAACATCATCATGCTCAACCCATAAGCAGCAATGTGTATGATGGGGACAGTATCAAAGAACTATTTGAAGCCTTCCAAGAGGAGGCGCTCCTGGTGTTACTTTTCCTTAGGTCTGTTGAAAGGATTGAGATGTACAGACGAGATCATAAGGAAACCAAGTTGCTATTTGCTGTAGAAATAAGTAACATTGAAGATGTCAAGAATAAGAGGCAACAGTTCAATAGCAAGTTACCAGATTATTTGAAAAGCTTACGAGATAGCAATAAAGAACTAATTCCCTTGAGAGAGACATATCCCATAATTCTGAAGGCTGAAAACCATCAGAATAAACAGAAAAATGAACAGACCTATTTGGTCACCTCTTTTTGTAGTGGTACCATAAAGTCTCAGGAATTTGTGAAAAAACCAGACTGTGTGAAGAACATCCCATTGGTAGGTATTGCAATGCCTTTGATGTTGAACAATCCCCAAGAGGGGGTGCTAGTTTCAGATTCTGATCATAAGACCAATGATGAGAATTTAACTGCTAGAGAAGATTCACCAAATTGCCCAGATCCAGTAGGAAGATTTCACAGTCAAGCAATAAGTCCTTGTGCATTGCCACACGGAAATGCTCCAAGTGTTGAGAAGAAGACATCTGGCCATGTGTTTTGCTCACTTCCATTACCTCTGGCTGATAGTCGAGGCACAGGTCTCCCAGTTCATGTGAATGGCTTCTTTGAACTCACCCCAGAGAGAAGTGACTTACAGTGGCCCACCACAGATGACAAGCACACACAGGACAAGTCCAAGGCTTGGAACCATCACTTGCTGGTGGACGTCCTTCCCTGTGCATATAAGGAGCTTCTTTTTCAAGCTACAAAGGATCAAGGTATCCCTATCTCTCCCGGGCAGGTTATTAGCTGCTTCCCAGATGAGGAAAAGGTGGATGAAAAGTGGAAGAAGATAATGCCTAAAGTCTATGCACATCTCTTTCAGTGTAACATGTTTTACACTAAGGCCTATGGTGGCAAGTGGATCTCTCTTGATGTTGCTTTAATTGTAAATTTTCTAGACAATTCAGCCCTGTGTGAGGCAGTATATGAAATCATGCTGTTAACAGGGCACTGTCCTCTCAAACTTCCACCATGTGTGCTTGATGCTATCCAGGACTTTCACCCTGAAAAAGACCGATTGAATTTCGTCTCTAAAGATGTCAACCACAAGCTTGTGAAAGATTGTCTGGCCAGTCACGATGGTTATTGCAAGTTCCCACCCAATCAGAAGTTTGAACTGCTGAGGTATCTACTTGATAATCTGCCAGTTGTTAAACTCCATGGTTTGAAACTTTTGCCTTTGGCTGATGGTACATTTACAACATTCTCTTCAAAACAAGGATCTCAGCCTGTATACATAGCTGCAAATGACATGATACAACTATTTGCTGGACTTGAAAAAAGGTTCCTGCATTCCAGTGATGAAATCATCAAAGAAAAATTGATACAATCAGTCAAACAAGGTGAGTTGTAGGGATAAAGTAAATATTTGATCTTGTGGACAAAATGTCTGAATGCCCTCTATTGACCTACTTAACATCGGCTAAGACCTACAGCTAAGTGAGTTTACTGTAAATGTATATAAATATGTTAGTATGTATATATTGAGAGGGTTTTACTGGAAATAACAAACAAAATACCACTTTCACATCCTCAATAAGTTCCAGTTTGTAAAAGCTGCACTTACGACCCTCAGTAATGGCCTGCTTTTTATGTATCGAAACAGATGTGTCTGGGGTTGTTGCTGCTGTTGCCGTGCCCTTTCAGATAGACCATGATTTGACCTTTTTTGTTCAAACTTACAGAAGTGAATATTAAAAAGAAATATAGGTTAACTTTAAAAATCAGCTTGATCGGACCTTTTTTCAAAAGTAATACTTTTTTTATTATTTTTTATTTTTTTAATTTTATTTATTTTTTTTTACAATGTATGAATAAACAGTACACTATATTCAATATAGATAACACATTTGAAAGAAATCTGACAAGCCTATTGTTTTCACACTTACCGGAGTGTCACTACTGTAACTAAAATACAGGTCAAGTTTGAAAATTAGCTTGATTGGGCCATTTTCCTTGAAGTTTGGCTGTTTTGGGTGTTTTTAAGCATATATTATACTATGTGAAATTCCGAAAACACATTTCAAGGAGAAATGGTTATGTGTCATGACTTTTAAACAGCTCCTAAATTTTGAACGATCTTAAAATCAGCTGTCTGGAGTTTTTTATGGACCATGAATTTTGACCATTAATAAGTAATTTTGCACGATCTTGATTTTCGTGAATTTCGTATACCTTAAAAATTGGCCATCAGGCCACATAACGATCTAAACATAAAGATCTAAAAGTCAGCAATGTTGCCCTAGCGTTCCTTTCCCTGAATACTCTGTGTGCAGCCCAAGGTGCAATAAAACAATTGGTATAGCTAGCTTAGGACTTGAAACAACATCATCATCACCATTCATTAAGATAACAGGAGCAGACATGCTGAATCAGGCAGTCGGGCTGACAATATTCTTTAAATTTTAGTGTATGTTGGCCCAATTTGGCCGGCAATAATTTCTGACTCACCTAGTACGGTTATATATTTCAAAAATCTTCCACCCAGTATGTTTATTAACTACCTATCGTACCGGTGGGAAATTATACAAGTCACGCTTTTTATTTTCTTAAATTGAAGTATAATGAGAAGAAAATTCGAGATCTTAACTCGTTACCTACTGTTCGACAAACAGCACTGAAAAGTAGGTCAAGCAGAAGTCGCTCTCTGAACACTACGATACATGCGTTGTCTGATTTCAGTTTCTATAAATAGACGTGCTTTCCCATCAACAGTGACAACTACTCATGTATATCGCTTGAATGATGTCATGTCGCAAGGTGATAGGATCTTATTTATAGCTAACGAGGTCATTTCAAGTGCAGCAAAGAAGTTTTGTCTGTTTTCAAACGTCAATTATTTCATGCGGATTTATGATTTAAACAATGTTAAATCACACTTATATGTAAGATAAACCCTTAGGAGTTTACAGGTACTCGGTATGCAAAACAAACCTTATATCTGAGAATAAATTTACTTTGAATAACGTCACCTAACAGCGTATAGCTATCGGAGGCGGCTTTGGTGTGTCTTCGGACCCTGACGATTATGAAATTGATCTCGTATCCGTGGATGCTGTTCACACAAATGTATTAATATTATTTTCATCATGACATTAGGCGGTGACAAAAATGACATTTTGATACATTATTCAGAATGTATGGCAATTTTTTTTTTAAATAAATTAGATATCCTCCCAGCGGGCAAATTATGTTGTTTTAACGTTGAAACAACATTGAACCATAACGTTGAGTAGACATTGAATAAACGTTGGATTTGAAAGTTGTGTCAACCTCAGATAACAACGTTGTATCAACGTCAGAAAACAATGTGATATCAACCCCACTCAGCGGGACATTAGCCTGGATGTGTTTAGAAGTAGGACATGTTTGATGGCTAAATATATGTAGGGTATAAATGTATGGCCTTTAAGTTAGAATTTCCAAGATTTAGATTAATATATATAGTTCGTTTCTTATATATGTATACATACATATATATATATATGTATTGTTGTAGTTATCTTCTTTTATATATATATATATATATATAACAAAGTCACAGTCATCTCAACCTATCTATAACAGGTTACCAAGAACTGTTAACTCCATCACATTTACAGCAACTTATTCATCCTAGTGTTAGCTGACCTTGCAAGCAATTCAGTTTATTGTACCACCAGCGTAAGCGCTGGTGGTACACATGGTTTTAGTCCCGTCCGGATCGTTCCGAAGGCTTTGCCGGACGGCTACCGTTACCGCTTCTCCTCCTAGATGGTAAGGGCCCCCGTACTCATCTCTTGGATTTAGGTCACCCATAATCTCAACTCGTTCCACGTAAAATTTGGGCTTTGTCGGTATTCGGGTCTAGGTGTGGCACTCATTGCAATGCACCCTTGTCTAAAAATGGCAAAATTAAATGCTAATTATCTACCCTACGGAAGGAATTATGGGAAAAATTTCTACAGACGGCTTTCCAAAAGTCATATGTGTAGATTTCCTCCTAGACGGTAAGGGCCCCCGTACTCATCTCTTGGATTTAGGTCACCTATAATCTCAACTCGTTCCACGTAAAATTTGGGCTTTGTCGGTATTCGGGTCTAGGTGTGGCACTCATTGCAATGCACCCTTGTCTAAAAATGGCAAAATTAAATGCTAATTATCTACCCTACGGAAGGAATTATGGGAAAAATTTCTACAGACGGCTTTCCAAAAGTCATATGTGTAGATTTCCTCCTAGACGGTAAGGGCCCCCGTACTCATCTCTTGGATTTAGGTCACCTATAATCTCAACTCGTTCCACGTAAAATTTGGGCTTTGTCGGTATTCGGGTCTAGGTGTGGCACTCATTGCAATGCACCCTTGTCTAAAAATGGCAAAATTAAATGCTAATTATCTACCCTACGGAAGGAATTATGGGAAAAATTTCTACAGACGGCTTTCCAAAAGTCATATGTGTAGATTTCCTCCTAGACGGTAAGGGCCCCCGTACTCATCTCTTGGATTTAGGTCACCTATAATCTCAACTCGTTCCACGTAAAATTTGGGCTTTGTCGGTATTCGGGTCTAGGTGTGGCACTCATTGCAATGCACCCTTGTCTAAAAATGGCAAAATTAAATGCTAATTATCTACCCTACGGAAGGAATTATGGGAAAAATTTCTACAGACGGCTTTCCAAAAGTCATATGTGTAGATTTCCTCCTAGACGGTAAGGGCCCCCGTACTCATCTCTTGGATTTAGGTCACCTATAATCTCAACTCGTTCCACGTAAAATTTGGGCTTTGTCGGTATT